CAACGTGTCTCATTCTAGCATTGTGAATATGACACTGGATATACATGTAAATGTTACTACAAGTATGTAAAGATACGTCCGAGCGAGAGTATCGTTAAAGAAAACTAAACCATATCCTTGCTAAGGTTAAGGCGTGAAAACTCTAATGAGGGGCGGGTCAAACTGCTGAGATTCCGAGAAACCACACATTTCGGGTCCTTCATTTCTTTCATAATTTGTTTTTGACAATATCAAATTTATCATACTTAATCGGCGCTAATATATACTCCGATTGATTATATAGCATTTAATTATGAAAATAAAATCAAAATATCATCGGAATATAATCTCCCGGCTTGGATTTAATCGGATTAAAAACAGACCCAACTATTAGACTTTGCGAAACATAAAGATGCCGCTGTTCTTTTTTACATAGGGAACAGCATAGATCTTTGTAAATAGTGAACGAAATCGAACCAGTTTTGGACTGGTATTCCTATTAGAGATTCAACTTTAATAATATTGTAGTTTTCAAGACATTTCTATATCGCTCAAATCACGCACGGAGACTTTCAGTTGAGATAAAAATAAAATCTCATTAAATAACACAAAACTACGTTAGCCGACCATCTGCCTCAATAGTTTACATAGCTGTTAGGTTTAACGTCTGATAACGTAACCTACCGTTGATTGCATGATGGATGTATACTTTTATAAAACATACTAGTATTTGAATGAGATTCCGCTCGATAATGGATGTATACTTTTACAAAACATACTAGTATTTGAACAAGCTTCCGCTCGATAATAGATTCCTGGATTATTGAGTAACATGCTTCACCAAATTGCAAAAACCTGGATCCTTTGAGCAAAAATCCCCAACTGATTAATTCAGTTCTATGTACAAAGTTTTGTTTAAGTGTATTGCAACGTTTCGCGTCAAGCAAACATTTAATTTTTATCTTTCTTTTTATAGATGTTTCTTAATACAGCTTTGGACTGTTCGAAAACTTATCATTGAAGCTAATCAGTGATCATACATTATGCCAGAATACCACTTGCAGTTGCTGCACGCTTTCGCTTTGTGTCACAGGAGAAGACTAAAATCATGATTTGTATTCAAAACGCATATCGCACCAAGTCGACGGATACAATTTGTTCTAACATGTGTATACAATATTGAAAAATGTATTATACCTACATCTAGAATAAATACAATTTTAAAAACTAGGGCGAGTCGCTGCTCTTTCATTAGGATTTTCACAAGTATATCATTATGATGCACACTGGATAGCTGACGTGAAATGCTGTTACGTAATCTTGTTTAACCCACCTGTCGAAGATTGAGAGTGGTAGCCTAAGATCTGTGTGGATCGCGTGCATGTGTCACATAGCTGTGAAAAGCACAGGATTTCGTATTATCCGGCTTCATGGTTGTTAGAAAATGGGACCAAAGGCTTGCACACGTGTTCGGAACTATAGAATAGATTTTACACAATAGAAAACGTCCAGGCGGGGAATTACGCTTTAATCCTCTAAGGCATAACCAGATGCACAAAGTCTATTCAAACTTTGAATTTGAGGGGAAGGTTCTCGTGAAATCTTTTAAACCCCCTTTTTTATCACTCGATCTTTCTAAGAAAACCCATAAGGTAAATATTATTTTACTGTGTAGATGGAATGCAGACAGGGTACTTGATACACTTTTCATAGCTTTGATTTTCTAGTAAACCTATAGCAACTTACCATATCAGCTTTACATGCAAAACAAATGTGGTTAAAGATGCACTGGTGCAATAAAAGTCATTGACCTTATATAACCTGGCTATGTAAAATCTTCAAATAAGATATGGCATCCATGGTCTCGAAAGAGTAAGTATATCCTATCTAGTGTTTTGTTCTGGACGTTAATCCTTCATTCATTGCATTTCCAATGATATGCACTTTATGTCACAGTAGATATATTGAACGTTCACCAACTGGGCTGTTATTAGTAGAAAGACTTCCCCCAAGGAGGTCAAATGACTTTCTTTGGCCGCAGCACCTAATGACAACGGGAGTTGTGCAACGTCTTTCAGTTGATTTTGGAGAGGGGGCTAATATAATGAAACAATCTGCTATAGGTTCCTTAGCAAGATTTTATTAGTAATTTAAAAGAAAACGCGTATACACTTTGGATAAACTGGGGAAATCCGTAGATAAGATTAATATACAGCAATAATATCTTGTTAGGTATGTGCATATTCCTCAGTGATCATTATATAGTTGATAACCAAATAGACACCGGGAATCGCTGCAGTTGACACGATAGTATACCTTACAATAGAAGATCATACGACGTGGTGACGAAAATGCTAACCTGTATAAATTGGTCCTAAATGCCACTAAATAAATACAGACAGTGTTGAAGTAGGTATATTGAACATCTCACATTATATAACACAAGATATCAAATACCACTTACAGGTAATACTATCCCTTCAATAGTGCTTTATACAACCTATAGAAGGAGTTGAATGAACAGAATTTATGGTAGCCGCTACGAGAATTGAGTTACATGAAACATCTTTCCCCACAGAGTCACCGAAGCAGCATGAGGTGTTAGATGTATCGCCAACAGAAGCTAAAGGGTAGCCATTCGGACGGCATGGGATGCTGGCACGTGAACATGGGCGATCTCATCGTGTGTGGTCTCGTAGCACTACAGCTGACCATATCGCTTTTGAAGGTATGATCAGTGTTGAAAGATATTGACTAAGAATGCAGAACATGACTTTGGTATCCCCTCTCTTTCATTTAGCACGCAACAAAATCCACCTAATATTTTGCGTCATTTATCTAAGTTGGAACAAATAAATAAAAGTACACATAAACCTCTAATGTCTGTATAATAGAAGTCATTTATATTGCAGTCTTATCGTCATCAAATTATAGAGTTGACCAACGAACATTTTTTATAATGAAGGGGTACAGATTTTTTCGGTCTGGAAGTTTTGATAATCGTATCTATGTCACCCAATTCTCAAACATCGTCACACAAATTGCAAAGATAGTGTTTTTCAATATTATCTTAAAAATTCGCCTTTTGGGTATTATTGTACATTAGAAACATATTTTCCGATGTGTCCAGAGGTCATAAAAAATCAGTCAGAAAACGCTATTAGATATCTTGTATGTAGTGATAAATTAAGTACCCTAAAATAACGACAAACTTCAAAGAAATACCAGCTTGGCATTTTCTATTTTTAAATACACGGTTTGTTTTTGTTTAAGCAATATTGAACGATATCGTATTCTTATAGAAAAATGTTTACATGCCATATTTACGTATGTTATTTTGACCTTATAGGTCAAAGTGACACGAGCTAACCTTTATATTTAGGAATATTAAAAGCGGATATTAATGTTCGCATAATAGGTTAACTATTCGGTTAATGTATATGGTCAGTGTTATTAATCCACATTCTTCAGTCTCAGCGACTAGTATGGCTGCCTTATTAGCATATTGTAGGGGATTAGTAGTTTCGTACTTTAATGTACCCATTTTTAAAGACGTCTTTTGCTTTATGTAGCAATTTTACATGCAGTGGCAAACTTTAAATGCCCAAAAATGATACCAGTCCCTAGAAGTCAAAGAGACTAATAATATTATAGCCACATGATTAACGTATTGTGTGATATAAATAGTTTCGTATTTTTCAAAAACCTCGGTTTTGTCCTTTACATTATACACGTTCTGCCAAAATTTAGTATGAAAGTGCAATTGGTGTAGTTGCCACCAGAGGGTTAATCCTGCTTGTATATTTAGAACTATACTTATAATGTAAGAGGCGCGGAGATAATTGCATATATTATTGTCTGCAACAAAGATCACATTTACTGGAGTAATTGATAAAATGAAAGAATCGTGTTACAGTTAGATAATTAGTGTCTATAATTCTGTTCCGCCCGTATTTAATATCACAATTAAACATCTAACAATTATCTAAAATATTTCTCAGACTATTAAAAAAAGGTCCTTGGTGAAAACGTTTGGGCTTGTTAAGGGTTGCTAAACCAATGACCAGTTAACAGTATCACTTGCAGTACAAAGCATGGCACTTGGATGTCCGAGGCTAGATATAAGCATGGCACTTGAATGTCAAAAGCTAGATAAAAGTGTTTCAAGACGGAAACTAATGTTTACTAGCATATCGTTGTTTCTAAATGAATGATAATTTAATGATATAAAAAAGATAAACATGTGAAGTTGTTATAATACGACAGTGTTATCGGTGTGTGTACGAATGCTGATATACCGATAGTGCACCGGAACTGTAATTATTATTTAATATAAGTCGCTGACATTTAAAAGCCATGTTATTAATAGTTAGTAAAATTAAAGCGGGTGTTGCTAGTAACCTCCCCTTATTGTCACGCAAACATCAAATGAATGGAATATCAAGATTTTTTATACATCACAGGACATGATACCCAAGATAATTTCACCTAAAGGTTATCGCAACTTTCTCATGATTCATATACATTTTATTCAGATTTTCTATGTTTAGGACTATATGGATCTATATAGGCTACCAACTCACTTAGTTCACAGACCAGGTGTCTCGGCATTTGTTGAAATCCAGCGAACATGAACAAATCGGCCAAAACAATAAGTAACATAGTCGTGGTACAAGCTTTTAGAACCATGAACGGTGACGATCTTCAAAAAAAGAGCCAAACTTGGCATGCTTAGATTTCGACTTTTGATATGACAATACAATTCCAATATAGGTGCGATGACGTCATGCTCGGACACTGATTCATTCAGTACACTCCAAATTTGCGTAGATTTTGGCACTCAGTGATTTCATGAAACTAACAGTGTGTGATAAGAGTAATGTTTCAATTATTTTCAAGAAATGCATGTCCCTGCATATTGATTTCTTAAGATGTTTAAGCTGGTGTAATTTTTGAAAAGAAATCCAACTGTAATATGCAAAGTTTAAACAATAATTTAATGGAAATAAAATAATACTTACGACTAGCAACACTACTGAGAATAAATAGTAATCCCGGTGGGATATAGACCAGAGGCCACATCTCTCTGAAAATCATAAGAAAATAAAACTATATACATAATGTAAACATGGAAGAGTTTATAGGCTGACATATCTTTAATACAACTGACTCAAATTTTTGAAATAATTTTGCTATGTTGACATTTGCATACGATATCCTTTCTTTGAACACATTATAGTATATCTAATCAACGGGCACCTTGAAACAATGAATATTTTAAAATAATGTATTTTCTTGGCACGCCATTATTTGAGAACTCGCTTTCAAAATAAGTATTTAGCGAAAATGCTTTTCGGGCGTTCCTGTTAGTTTTTTCCTTACCAGCAGTGGGTTATACACTGAATATGGAAGATTAAGATGACTATATAGCCGTAATGTGGTATTATATGTCTAAAAAGAGTACAAGTGCCATATGCACAACATCCATCGATTGATCTGACGTAATAAAGAGGCGGAGGGAGATACAACCAATCATAAATGATATAAAACTTATGGACCGTACCGTATTGAGTAAAATATAGAAAGCGTTTTATATCATATATTTTGAGTGTCTCATTAACTCGATATTTAAACTTTGCATATTTAACCCTATGCATATACAAATATATATATATATATATATATATATATATATATATAACAATAGGAATATAAAAAATGTCATTTAAACGTTGTATTTATATCATTAAAAATATACAAATCTCTACATACAAACGTTGTATATATAACACTAGGGATATACAAATGTGTCATTTACTCTATATCCAACATGAATATATTCAAACGTTGTATATATGACACTAGGAATAAACAAATGTGTCAATAAACTACACATTTAAACGTTGAAAAGATATAAACGGAATAAACACACTTGTCATTACCTCTACATATTTAAACATTATATTATGTCATTAACTCTACATTCAAACGTTTTATATAAAACACTAGAAATATACAAATATGTCATTAACTCTACATTCAAAGATCTTATGTATAATACTAGGAATATACAAATGTGAAAGTAACCATATATTAAACTTTGTTTATATACAGCACTAGAAATACACAAATGTGTCATTTACTACCCATTTAAACGTTGTATATATAGCACGAGGAATATACAAATGTGTCATTAACAGCCCATTCAAACGTTGTATATATAACACGAAGAATATACAAATATAAAGAATGTGCTGTGTGAATAGTAGTTCCAATATGTGTGACACATGAAACAATGGCCAATCTGATTTCAATTTATATCATCGTATATAATTCTTTTTCTTTTAAAAAAAACCTAACCCGATAGTATAAATCTTGACATGAGTAATAACACCAAAATCTAGGATAAACGGAAGATAGGAAATACTTGGTCTGTTGTTTTGGTCTCCAGTGAGAATAGTTTTGAGACTTTCTCAGTTAATTCAAAAACGCAATGGAAGCAATCATCGGATAAAACAATGGCAGATATTCGAGATCTTGGCTACGTGATATTAGAATAAGTGAAAGAAAGTTGCTACACAGGAGTTTTTCAAGTGGTAATAAATTTGTATCTCCAATTTATTAATTTCTTTAGGATTACAAATTAAGGGTTTGTTGGAAATATATTTGGCTTTACTGTTTATAGATGTCTTCTGGGTAAAGAAACAATGGTAGTTGGGAAAGCTGACAGACATCTGTCCGGCAAAATTGCATGACTTATGTCCGTCTTCATTATCCCGGTTGATACATAATAATAATCCGTTAACACTCATATTAAATCATTTTATATATAAATCTATTAATGTGATGCAACTCAAGAAGACGAACACCATACATCTAGGTTCGCGTTGCGTATCAAATTACTTAATTTCAGTCAGACCTGGCCAAATATGTTGAATATAAAGAAAAATAAACAAGTAGACTCGGAAGTCTTTGCGGATAGAAGATGGTGCAACGATTGAGATTTGATCTCATATCAGACTGGAAATCTGTTTGTCATGTTCCATACCGGTTTTTAAATACGCCTTGCATAGCTTTGAACAAAGTTTTAAGTATGCACATTTTGACCGGAAAATTCCTCAAACATAGCATTATTTTTTAAAGTCTATGTCTACAAGTATTTTCGTCCACTCTCAAAGCAATACTCCGTGTCCTTCGCGAACCAGTAAGGAAATGCCGTAATGTTCAAAGATTCTTTACGTCTTTAAAGTATGATCCATAAATTTTAAATGTGCAAACATGATGTGTAGCAATCAGTGCATAAATCTGCCAATAGAGTTAAGAAGGGTTATAGTTTCAACTTGCCATCAATAAAAGCAGGGAAATGTATCATGTTAGCTGTCTTGTAGCGTATGCTACTGTCAACAACCTTTAAAGACTTTCAGTATCAAGTTTGCATTTCGTCATGGATATCGTACGGTTATCAAAAGTTTTGGGTGCCTAGAAGCGCGTGCTACTGCCAACGACCTCTAAAGACATTCAATATCAAATTAACATTTCGTCATCGAATACTGCATGGCTATCAGAAGTTTTAGATATCTTTAAGTGTATGTTACTGTTAAAGACCTCTTAAGACATCCAATATCAAATTTACATTTCATCATCGAATATTGGTTTTAGATGTATAGCGCATGCCACTGTTAACGACCCCTAAAGATAGTCAGTATCAAATTTATTTTGTTATAAAATATCGTATGGGTATAAAAAGTTTTAGCAAACAAAAAGCCCAAACGAAATTATTAGACGAACGTTCGTTGTTTAGTTTAGTGTCTCCTTATAGTTCGTTATGGACATATACTGAAAATATCGATACATTTATTGGGTAACCTCCAGACCTCTCCACTAAGTACTGCTTCGTTACTTTTGAAAACTAGATCGCCTTCCGGTTTTCACTGTCTCCAAAATGAAATTCATCTTTACGGACCTTGGCTTTCGTGGATTTTCATTGTCTGTGGGCAAAAGTGGAACATCTTTTTATATTCCGGTTATGTTTAGCACCCAACAACAATATTATGTGCAGTGTGCACCATAACGTTATAGTTTTACACCATGGATGCATATGTAACAACCGTATTGGTTACACCACACCCATACAGATATTACCTAAATATAATATTACTGCTTCAAGTCATAAACTCATAACATGTATTTAGGGTATAATTTCAAGCCTCAATGGTAACATTAAACATATTTATGCAAGTATGTCCATACAAACTGAAATATTCCCTTAGTCACTGAATTCTGATACAAACAAACGGAAATATACAATGTGTCAGCACTAGACCCAAATATAAAAGTTATCTTACAGCTTTGTATCATGTGTTTCTGCACCCATACACTTATCACTCTTTTGTTATTATGCCACATTGATGTTAAGTGCAGGAAGAATGCACTACAGCCAACAAATCGATACGCGTATGCATAGACAGCCTTGAAAGTGGTACATCTTCAATACAGCAATGATATGCCTACAGGAGGATGTTCAGTTTTAGAACATAGCGATAGTACTTAAAAATAGAATGTGTTACAATTTCAATAATTTAATGCTATGTTTTAGGTTCAGTAATTAGAACACCATGTTAGAACTCCTGTGAACATGAATGTGTTACAATTTCATTAACCCAACGCTATGCCTCACGTTCAGTATTAGAACATCCTGTTAGAGCCCCCAGGAAATATCTGGTACATTAAATTCCAGTTGATGCATTTTAAGGCTTTTTGGTCATTAGCTTGAGTTTTATGTCGTTTTCAAGTATTTCATCAAATCAATTCAGTTTGTCGTGTAGATGGGAAGGCTGATTTAAATAATTTATAATAATTAACTGTCCTAAAATATGGCCGATGTGGGCGATGCACCAAGTTACTATCTGACAGAAACTTTTCAGGGTTTGGGATAAATATTGACATAACATATATCAATGAAACGGATATTCTAGAAATCATGAATATCTTGATAATAAATACAATTTTGAATACAGGTAGTAGTCTAGTTGATGAATAGTCTTGTGGCAGTACATTGAATACAGTCCATGTAAAAAATATAAGCTCTCGCTGATAAACAACGGCATGAGACAAAAAGTGATGCAAAACGTTAAACATTCATTAACAGATAGAAACATTTACCACCATCATAGCGTATGCCCGTCTTCATTAGCACAGTTCTAAGCAGAACAGTATGACGTTAAACCCCATTTCATTTCTACCGCTAAACATCCACGACTTCTTATCCTTGTCTCACGGAAAGAAGCGTGTCACCGTAGGTGGTACTTATGTCATAGTTTTTAAGCCTTTGTATTCGATTTGTCGTATCATCTGATGATTGGGCAGATGTAAATCTTAAAGGAGCTTCTAAGCTAACGCCAGAATCTGAGCAAGATGTATATAGTTAGACATTGTTCTTTGGTGTCTAAATCAGTGTTTTTCAACCAGTGTGCCACTGCTCACAGGTATGTCGCGAGATCCTCCTAAGTGTGCCGCGAAATTATGAACGGCACTTTAAAAAAATGCGAAAAACCACGTGATCCCAATTGGGTATTCACTGGTGTCTACTGGTAAGTTCATAGCTTTGTTTTTCTTTATTTAGTTTGAGTCACTCGGTGGTGTCTATGACTATCAGTGTGTACGGTTCTATGCCGTCTATGATTTGCCATATTTTTATTTTGCAAAATTCAAAATGTGTTCCAAGATGTGCCGTTAGCAACCCCCCCCCCCCAAAAAAAAAAACAACAACAAAAAAAAAAAAAAAAAAAAACCCAAAAAATGTTGAGAACCACTGATCTAATTCCCTGATCCTTGTATACCCATAGTGCGTATAATGGCTTGATCATAAAATCACGTTCTATTAATATGCAATCGATGACAAGAAGCGGAAAAATGGACATGCTAAGAACTACAGCCCTATTTGTTTAAGAAATTTCAACCCGTTTTAAAAATGGAGGCATAGAACTACAATAATAAAAGACCCAATAAGACTTAAAACCACAGGTAACATTTGTAGGTGATGATGAAACTGCGGAATGGACAAACTGTACGTATCCATACGTATTAATTCAAAGTTAACTTTTGTATGTGTGAGATTCCTTACAGGAACAAATTATTTACTTTTTGCAATAGTTCATATTTCGGTAGTATCAGATACCGCACCTAAGCAATATCTTTCCCAGGAAGTCAAACGTAGTTAACACTTAAACTAACAAGAAGAAATGCTTTCATGTACTCTTATATTGTGATTCCTACGTTAACCTTCAGCTTCTAGTTAAATGTAACTCCCCCAGAGTATTATAACCTTTATCTAATAGACCGATGTAGATTATCACAATACGAGTGTAATAGCTACACTATTACTTATATATCTACATAAAACCCAACACCAGAAAACGCGAGAGTGGATTAAGTACGTAATCGAATATCGAAAAATCTGACAATGTCTTCCGTTTATTCATAAAATCTTAAATGGTCACAGATTAATCGAGTACAGGTTTCTACGTGTAATCTATATATCCGTCCGAACTGGACCTATGTTCTTGCACCTTGACACAATCGCCCAGTATTTCAACTCGCAGTTTTCTCCTACTCGGTCTCGGATTTAAATGAATTAGAGTAACAAATCAAGGTTGAATTTCCACATCATAAGGGCGGAAATGTATTGAATTTTGAATTTATGAACCACCCCGTGGATAGGTATGGAATGGGGGTTATAGTCTCGTCAAAATAACACAATTTCCACCATCTGACAAGGGTTCTTTTACATGCACGTTAATGTGTACACGGATTGACCTCGGATTATCGCCCCTTGGGAAGACAACGGAGTCGAAACCGGGACATGATAGTCGAGACTCAAGTGAGTAGAATATTTAACGTAATTTAACGAAATGTTAGTTTATGATAAAATGCCACGTCGAATCTATGAATCACAGCGTTTTGGTAATTATTAGCAGGAGGTATTGCCCTTGCTTAAAACATATAGTGGACGCAGCAGAGGATCGAGATTATAATGGAATGTTGTATTCTTTTGTCATGATAACGTGGTCTACTGCATAGGGTTTAATTTCTGATCAGCTTCAAATAAACAATCCTTTGGTTCACAACGTGAATACCGGTATCACCAGCTAACGTACAACACAGCGGGATATTATGTAAAAAAATAATGATAGGTTTTGGGTCTATGGTAAATGTTGTTCACCAATGTTAAAATTGTGTTATACATTCAGCACTAAAACATTTCTAACAAATAGATTGATGGCCTTGCATATATTACTATAGTAAAAGTCCGATTGTCAATATTGACTTCCGTCATTTAAACCTACAAATTATATACCTGACCTTCATTCCTTTTTTGGATGACAATGTTTGCTACCTATTATATGACATTATTCGATTGGATTCTATAACCGAACACGTTACGTGCACGGGCCCGGGTATGTTTACTCTTTCTAGAGCAGTGGTTCTCAACCATCTTTGCGAACGACACACTTTGGGACACATGAAAAATAGCGGCACAACTGGTTAATTATACATGTATATGAAAGATATTTGAATTTTGCTAAATAAAAACATACAACCGTAAACAGAGACACATAGAATGACCCGAACTAAATAAAGAAAAACACCACAGCTATGGACTTGGGCAGTAGACACCAGTGAATACTCAATTTGGAGCATGTGTTTTTTGCATTTTCTTAGTGTGTCGTTCAAAATCCTGCAGCACTCTTAGGAAGATCTCACGGCACACGGATCACTGTTCTAGAGAATCCAATGACCATTACTACATGGCTGGTAATTCTACTGACGGTCATTTCTATCGTGTAGCTTTGTCTTTTGTGATATCCAAGTCCAAATTATCCCCCAATTTAGAGACACTTACACTTTTTAGAGCTCTAGATGCTAGATGGTTTACTGTCCCTTTAGTATGCCCATATTTTAATGTGGTCTTATATTGCTGTCACCCCATGACTGACGTTTACATTTCTTTTTGGCACAATATCCATATGGTTTTGCAAGCTCACTGAGATAAAGAAACCTGTGGATTTTCAACGATTTTTAAGGATAACTCCCTGATTTATTACCCTTTGTTACGAAATCTTGACGACATATTTGAGGCTTCAATTATAATCTTATACAAGTATATTTAGTCTATCCTATGGAAAGAAAGTTCCCTATTGATTTTCGATGATAACTGCGACAAATCTGTTAGTTGTTTATACTTGAAAGAACTCTCCAGGGTTATTATAAAATATTATCAGTGCTATTTTGGTAGCAATTATTAACCTATCGTTTTAAAATATTTATTGATTTTCAATGATCTTTAACAATAAGCACCAGAGTTATTCCCCTTTGTCATGAAATTTTGATCACCGCTCTTTTTGAAATTTGCATTGTTGTCTAGCCTACAGACAGAAATAACCCTACTGATGTTCATACCCTTATAGGTTATTCTAATTGTTGCGAAGTCTTTTTAGCTGTCTGGCAACTTATGTTTTTCGATTTGAATCTACTTTTGGTTTTTTTTTCTATTTTGTGTTTAAAGAACTTCTGCGCCCTGTACAGGTGATACAATTATAGATATACGTCGATAAAATGCCATCAGAGCTATAGAGCTTATTGTATGCCATTTATCAGACATTTAAGGCTATCAAAACCAGGTATCTTTCAAGACATAACAATCTTCTGTTCAACATCTGTATTAGTGTGATTATAAATACTAGTATATCCTTTTCTCAACATGCGAAATTATAGCATTGATTGTCGGATCTGAAGTAAACAAATAAAGTGAAACCGAATCGCGGAGATTTTTTGATTCCGCGGGCTCAACTCCTTGTTTGTATTGGTACCCTCCACCCCCTCAAGACTCCTGGAAAACGCCCGTTACTGAAGCTAATTTAAACATGTTCACAAATGAGATCTCCTCGAAGGTTATCTGCTCTGGTCTCGCTTAGTGATCAACATTCACACCAGCTTGTGTGGCTGTACAGCAGAGTCAAATAACAGCAATAATTTTGAATTTCAAAAAACTAAATTTTAATTACATCCTTTGATTGGATGCCTATCTACCCAACGAAAGGGGTGTTCGGGGATGTCGCTCCCTGTGTCCCTGCCCCCAGTCTCGGCACGCCTCATGACACAAAGCCGCGGTGATTCGTTATATCAGAACAACTGGACTCCCTTTTCCCCTGACAAGAGGGCATAAGATATGTATCTTACACGACAGGGGTGGGTGGGTGTCAGAATGGTTAGCGCGTATGCCTTGTATCAGAAGGTCTGTCATTGAGTCAACTTGCGTGGTTTCGATTTCCCGGTTGCACGTGACAAGGAGTAGGGTTTGCTCCGGGCCCTCCGGTTTCCTCTCACTGCTAAAGAACCCTACGCGCAAACGAAAAAAAATTGAACCATATGTTAGTCCTGAAATGACCTAGTTTGTGTCGAGAGGACGTTAAACCCCATTTCTCCCCTTTACACGATATTGTGTTAACAACAAATTTATATTGTGTCGTCTCGGGCGATAACGAGATGTTTCATTTGCTCTTGTGCATTAGCTAATGACAACAAAATACACTGTTAGCATCTTTTACTAGCCAATCAAAATGTTTTAGAAATATAATTATTTCTTGGTGGGTAAAATGTCTTATTTTTTAAGCCACTAAGCTACATAAACTAATTTTATGAGTGTCATTCAAGCAGATATTATTAGCAATTAAACATATGTCATTAGCAATTGAAGTTTGTTAATTCCTTGAAATTAATTATGTTTGTAGAGATTATTATTTTATTCATTGAAAACAAAATCAATTTAAAATATTTTTTAAATAATAAAAAAAAAATTGAAAAAAATATGTCTGTAGTTAAAAACATGAACATACCTTAACACTCCACTGTATTTACGACCGGCTATTCCAATCTGTAAAACTTACAGCTTTCATGTATCCGTTAGAAATTAATTCCTTTCGAATCACACAAAACGCCTGTCCTCTCGCCTATTTCACCATACCCTGGCCGTCGCTATACCAAGTAGCCCAACACTGAAGAAATACAAGTATATGTGTTTTGGTAGTGCTCACACTAAGTTATAGGAGGGTTATCCTTTCCTTAACAGCCAATAGTAAAAGCGAACACAATGCCTATTACTTAGTATATGTATATATCATAGCTTATTGTTTAGTTACCTTAACCAGGCGAAGTAAATCATATGTAAAATTGACGGTTGTCAGTCACCGTATGGCGTTTATATATAACTGACCATTACCCCACGCCTTAACCTTCCCTAACCCTAGCCTTCTAAGTATTAAACGTACAGATCACAATATGGCTTCTTTGAAATAATTCTCAAATATTTTGGGTAGTGGTGCCTATCGTATTCATGTGGAGGAGGTATTAGATCAGACAGTTACAAGAACAGTTATTAAATAAACAAAGTATGTCTGTGATTTTACTGATGTCGACCAGTGCAACTGCACCTACTTAAGTCGGTTGTAAAATTCATTGTGTGCGGAGGTCATAAGATTTAAATGCTTTTGATGTTTGTCGATTTTAATAAAAATACTTAGATAACAATAAGCAGTCAGTCCTAACTTGAAGTTAATATTAACGAATCGACAATATAAACTGTTGTGGTTTTTTTTGCTTTCTTTTTTTTTTTTGCTTTCTTTTTTAACGTAAGCTATATTTTAGTGAATACACTGGAAGTGGATAAAAGAACAGTAGTAACAATACATAATCCGATGGAAGAGTTCGAACAGTGACGTAGCATTACATGTAATTTATCCAAAAACAATGGGATCAATGAAACAAGTTGGTGGTCAATGTCCAGAAACAATCTTCTGAACTATCACCCCATTAATTTCTGCTGTGGTGGCTGAGTATTACTTTGCTTTACATATAATGTATTTCCAAATATCCTACCGACCGATAACTTGGGTTCTTTGTAAATGACAACATATATACTCCTAGACTATTCTTGCCATCTTACCAAGTTCTAACTGCACTTTTATGGAAAATTTCGCATATTATGTCGTGCTGACCGATTTTGCCGAACTCTTGTGCCAGACTTTGTATTTTGGCATTTAGGATCGATTGTGCTGACGATTTATCCCCCACCAGTAAATATGGTGGTATATCAACGTAGGCATCGGTTATAGTCTATCTGAACAACCAGACACAACCAGTTTAGCTAATAAACACAACAGAATGGAAATTGTATCCACACGTCCAGAACTATAATCTGTGGGTTTTGTCTTAACAGTCCGACCCCGTTATCCGAGTTTTGATATTACTATATTCAAAACCACAGAAGGGCGATTTAATCATCAAGTAATTCCACGTAGATCTCACTGCATCTACCCACTCGGAAAAACATAATCATGATTATAACATCACACTTCAATGCATGATGGGGTTTAACTTCCTACTTTTCTGCACCTTCTTGGTTATTGAAGACGGTGATAATTTGATGAATCGTATTGTCCACTCATATTCCACAGGGGACAATTTAAATCCCTTTTAATTAAAGATGGATGGAATTTTATATGAAAAGCATTATTTAAACTTTTCAGATTTTCGTGAAAATACAACGATCTTGAGTTACCAGTTTTATAACCTTTGGTCAAGTTTATAGTGAAATATTTCACACGATGGGCGTTAGACCGGTTTCTATTATTTTTGATTAAAACCAGATAGATATAGGGCGTCAGTTATAGTAAGTAATTATATATATTCTAATATCACATACAGCGGACTATTAGATGACAAGGGTTCTGGTACAGATATAAAGCAGTATAGTAGGGATAAATTTGATGGCAATGAACGCGAATGTGAATGGTATATGATGATATTTAACATATCCCGAGAGCTATATGCAATTTCTGGTTGAGTTCTGAAGAGAACTTCCCTTACATTGAAAATTGGTGCCAGTCTTACCATTTCGTGCACAATCCCAGTCAGTTGAAGAGTCTGGCCCGGATTTTCGGCACTCTTTAGTGGGAATGAAGCCATGTGCATATAATGAAACGAAATCGAGGTTTAAAGCTACGATTTAATCTTAATTCTACTTCCAACTGATATGGGATCCTTAACGTAATGCAAATAGTATACACTGGACTAGACCTGTCCATGTCATGCCATCTGCCCTCTTCCAATGACAAAGGGGGAAACCGGACTATATACCGACCAAAGCACAGTAACTACTTTTAGATAACCAGAGTCTGGATTTAGAAAACGGAAAGGGAGTGATAGATAGTAATCTCGGAGCAATAACCACGAACAGTTTCAAGTAAAATTGTTAACGAAAAATTGCGCGCTGTGCGGTGTTCTTGAAAATGTAATAGCACCTTGGCTATAGCACGGACATCAGTTACTTATAGCCACCTATCAGAGGGGTAGTTTAGTTAAAGTGCGGGCGAACTATATGGACCATACACCGAGCATGGCGTCATCGAAGCCATCTTGGAATTGTGACGCCATATCAAAAAGTAGTCCAAACAACAAACGAATTGTGCTATTTTTCGAAGCGCTTCGCCCCCAAGACGACAGAGAAGAAAAACAAAATTAATAGTGCTTGTTCCTGGCCCCCCAAAAGTATTACCATTGAAACAATTTATCGCTATGTGGATTTGAATTTACTGCAATTATAATACACAAGACACGTTTGGGCGTTACCTATCGGCATATATATATTTATGCATTTTATGAGGCCAACGAACCCATTTATTCTTCCATTGACATTTCATTTTGGAACTAAAGTAATCAAAAAACTAATAGAACCGCTTCAAATAAATGTATTTCTGTTCTGTATTAAAAACTATATGTAGTGTATTTTTTTATCATATTAAACAACACAGTTTTAATATATCTTCCATGTATTCAGGAAATTTCATATTTTCACATATTTTAAATGTTACGCCATTTGAGGAAATCTTTCATTTTTGTACACCAGTGTTTTATTGCATACTGTGTCTTTTTCCGGAACGAATTGTAAAGGATCTTTATTTCCGACTGAGCATAAAGTAGAAAGATTAAATCCACTGTAACATACGCGAGTAATTCACAACCGAGCACCGTTCTTTATCAACAATTACACATGTTCACAATGCAGGAGGGTGACGTGACGTCATCAAATATCATCATTTACTTTTAAGATATACAAATATGTCTATAATCATACGTAAAATAACAACAAATGCCAGTCCTTAGTCGGGACATGTACAACCGTTTGACTTTGTAACAAGGAAACGCTGCACTTTATCACATTCTAACGCTATCAAAGAGAATGCGCGACATTTTTGTCCCTTGTTTCGCCACCCCATCCAAAAGCTTTTAAACTTGGTATAACAAAAGGTATATTATATTGCTATGTTTCTATGTTGTTAAGATAGTGGGTGAAATCTGGTATGTCTATAGGGACTAGGTGTTGTCCTTCTGCATCATTTTTTGATTAAGATTGACGTTTGAAGTTTCGTATCCCCGGAGACACTAACTTCATTCCAATTTAGCCTTTGTTTAGATAATTTGATCTTATTTTCGAATACTTGTTAAAATATCTTTCATTTTCAATAATGAACATTTTGTATTGTTTGATAAAACTTGTGTGGGAGGGATATAAAAAGAGATAATTTAATATTGAAAATAAATTCAAGGGTATTAATGTTATATATAGCCAGAAGTATGTAACAGTAAATATGGGTTTTCACCTATAAATATTTTCATTCATTGTGGGTTACGTCAAATGTGGGCAGATATGGTGTAGTTTAACATTTGTTTTAACACTTTGAACAATAAATTGTATTTTGTTTTATTTTTAATCGTGTTTTATATTCACAAAATAAAATATAGCTTGCCTACATTTAGGATTGGACAACGCCAACTTAATGAAACAAGCTGAGTTTTTGAGATTTTGCTTACAAACTAGTTGGGATTGTATGGCTGGCTAGCCAAAAGGTGGAACTCCATTGAAATTTCAATGGCCTGACAATAGCTGGTTTAAATTGCCTGACAACCTTGTCATTTTCGGTTGCAAATTGCACACTGATATTGTTATGAATAACTTGCTATGGACCGCAAAGCATATGTCATGCGATCAATTTTTTTGTATTATTAATGGTGGTATCCTTAAAGGAACCACCCGAAGCTGGAACTAAAAGAAGTGTAGGCAGGGACCCCACTGTTCGGGCAAAATGTGTGAAAACTAAAAACAGACACGTTCTTACTTTCCTTACTATTTGTATATCAGTTCAGTTATAATGAATTTTTAAGCTTATAACATCATAAGATACGTTCATACCTATATCAGGAAATGTCGATACAACAGCCAAAGCATAAATAATGTCTGACATGACAGATGCATAATTCACTACTTTAATAATGCGAAATACCTGACCACCCAGTAATTCAGCAAATGATACAATTCTCATTCTTCTTTATTCTATTGTTCTTGGCATTGGTCAATATTAAACTATAGATTCTTATTTATATATCTTGTAATATATGTTATCTAACAGACAGGTTCTTGTAGAATGACATATTAGCATCAAGTCTGAATAGAATTTAGTGCATCGAATCCATTTTGTAAAAGATATACTTTTAATATGGGGTTACTGGTTGCAGAAAGAAGGAGAAAACTGCCCGGTATACGAATGCTAAAACCCCAGTCACTGAGCCGGAATGCCGTTGGAATATAAATTCTTTGTATATTCCTGGATATTCGAATGGCATTCTAAAATTTCTGACTGCATTCTGAGTGGATTCTAGCGCTGCCCGAATGTTTTGCCGATGCTCAAAACTTTCAAGATGCATTCGAAGTGGAGAAATATCGAACAGCATTCGAAGTATATTCTAAATGCACTCTGACTACATTCTAAATAATCTCACGGCATTCCAGCAGCAATCGGGTCGCCTTCCAGGAACAATCCAAACGGCACGCCACTTCAAATCCTGTAAGATTTTACGTGTTACATTTGAAGTACATTCTAATGCCCGACTTTCACGTGGGCTACGAATGCTACGAATCGTCCCGAATAGTGGCGAATCG